TAGTGAACGAAATATTTTACTGCGCAGATATGAAAAATTTTTTTCAAGTTTTCCGTTTCCAGCAAAGCGGTTGAAACGGGCGTATCGGCGGCAACTAACATGGAGTATGACTAATGTCGTGGAAACAAAAGCGAAAGCACTGTAAGATAAACTAAGACAAAGGTTTTTTTAATCCTCTTAGTTTCGTTGTTCTTCCTGGGGTTTATAGTTCCATGTATAAACCCACTCTACCAACAAGTTATATCAGGTGATAATTTCACAGCATTGTTCAATATAATCATACAGATAGAACTATATAGTTTGAAACAGAAATTTGAATTTAGACTACTTTTACCCCAAAATGACTTACTTGATGTGAATGAACTGGGTATGAAAGAAATGACATCACACACGAGTTGGTCTAAAATAGGAAGTGGGATAAAGTGTGCAACTACAATAACATCACAACAATAATAATGCCTACCTCATTTCCTTTCTCTTTCGCCACATCACTTTTGTCAACACCAAGTCTCCTTAAAATATCTTTAAAATGCCCAATTATAACAAGGAATGCATAGGATATATATGTGAGAATTGCGGTGAGCATAGGCGCTTCTTCAAATGACTCTTTGCTTTCTTTATGTACAGGTTTCACCTAAAATAAAACAATGCAGAAAAGAAAAACAATGTTATGGCACATAATTAATAATTAATTAGGGTAAATGTAGTTTTTATAAACAGAAACGGAAAAATACATCAATGTCAAACTTCAGTGTCCCTATGCTAAATCATTTTGGTTTTCCTATGTTAAATGTACGAGTAATGTTAGGCACAGTATTAACTCTATCTTGAAACAAATACAATACTCAGTCACGATTTTACACTAATCAATAAGATATCCAAGTTTGAAAATGATTGGATGGGAGTTATCTAAGGCACAAGTAACAAGATGACACAGTAACCCCACTATCCTTTTAATCTCCATTATCATCATGGATAAAAATAAAAAAATAATTGAACAGAAACATTGACATGAGAGTTTACATATAATAGTATTATATGGTGTCATGTATGCGAAAATGCTTGCTCCCACCCAGAGTTGTTAATTGCCTTCAACATAATATTTTGTTAATAATCCTGTCATGGCAAAATTGCATCATTAAAGATTCCTGAATCATTCCAATCAATTGCTGGCACATTGCCTCATGATTACAATAAATAGTTTGTATTTAAAAATCATCAAAAGAAGTGAACCACAAAAACATAGCCAGAAATAATGATGAGGGAAAGTTGAAAGGGATGCTTTAGTTGGGTCACCATTTTCTCAGCATAATTATGTTAATTATTTGTTGGTTAGTTTTGTTTTCCAAAACAGATGCAGATGTGTATTATTATTTTTTTCAAAAATAGTTTATATAATATTAAAAAACAATTTTGGGTTTAAATACACTTCTATTAGACTAAATATATATGGTATATACCAGATTCTGCCATAAATTCGCCCAGGGCCGTCAAATGGCAGATTGGGTTTTTAAAAATATAAAATGGACCAAGAAATCGCCAAGGGTTTTTTAAGGTGTTATTGTAATCTTTCCCGATGCCAAAAAGTTCACTGTAGTCATTGACGCCTATTCAAGAGTATGTTTATTGCATCGAACGTGAATGGGTAAGCTTCGTTTCGACAATGAGCTGTTAAACAATGTTAAATTATTCTTCAAATGCTCAAGTTAAAAAATGTATGAAATTTTAGATTAGCTTCTGCAATAGTTTCTTTCGTTTTGGGTGGTCCAACTGCCAGCGTTGAAAGTCGGCGTAGGTGGATTTTCCAATGAAAAAATAAGTCCTAAATAATATTTGAATATTATAATATTTTGAATTGAGGGCAATTTTTCAGAAGGGCGAATTTACGGCACAATCCGGTATAATTGCGTTTTTTTTAGCAGTAATTTACAAAATTAAATCATGTTTTCTCCTCTTTTTGAATGATAAAAAAAGTGAAACAAAAATATGTAATGTTTTGTTTAAAAGAACTTGACCATTGTTTCTTGTGGCATGACTATGTTTTTGTTTTATTATTGCTAACTTGTATAGTTTATAGCCTTGCATTCCTGAAAATACTATGATTAGTAACATGTCATATTTCCCACATCTTTTTTAAGGTATTTTGCTACTATTAAATAAAATAATCCAGAAAATGAGGTTAGGTTACTATAATGTTCGGATTTCTGAAATGAAAATACATGACCTAAGTTTTCCACAAAACGACCTCAAAAATTGATCAAAAATGGATTTTTTTAATAGCATACAATTGGTTCCTATGACAGAAACATTCCATTAAACATGCATCTCAAAATATTATTCGTTGACCTATGGTAAAAAATTATATGTAGTGTTATGAGGGCTACATATGACTGTCACGAAAAATGGGAGAATTTTGAATAAGTAAAAGTTATCCATGGAATAATGTGTTTACATAGAATCCTATGGAAAAAGTTTCAAAATGGTTGCTTTTTTAGAATATTTTGCATTATGTTTTTTTGGAAAATGAAAATGAGTTGAATGTATGTGAATCATCACAATTTTTGAATGATTTACTGTGATCAATTTTTTTATGTTTTAATGGTAGCAATCTACCTTAAAATTTCTAGAGTTTTGCACAGTATTTCATGGCGGAGAAAACACAGCTCTAGTAACACATTTATTGTCATAAAAATATATTTATATTGACTTTCTTGTCTTTACCTTTTCCATTCATTCAAATACAGTTAAACTGTCACATTTTTCATAATTATTTTACAATTTTTCAAGAGAAGAAATTAGGTCAAACAACGAACAAAAAACATCTGCATGAAAATTAACAATACATAATACCCACAATTAATTAACTTGCAATTGATTATAACTTATTTAATATTACACAAACAAACTTTTAAAAAATTTGCAAATTATTAATAATTAGAAAATAGATAATACACATGTGATGAAAACGCTAATGCAAAAATTACATATGCTAATTAATATGGCAAGGGAAGTGCGTACCTTTTCAATTTCCCGGGTGTCAGTGCCGGTAATATGTATTTAGCGATAATTACGCCGTGAATACCTCGAGTACCTCCGATCAAGGATTGGCGTATAATTTATAAATCCATTTTAGGGTAAGGTTTCCTATGGGATTTCAAAATTAAGTCCTCCATACATGTGCGACTAGATGAAATTTAAATGACGTAAATAAAACATTGATCATTGATACTACACATCCGTCGGCACAATATTAGTGTCACTCGTTGTCAATGAAATATTACACGCGACACGTCCGATTCTATAACTACCGATAGTGATCGCAACCGTAAATACTATACACAGTAAAACATTTATATTTAAATTTATGATTACAGTTTTTCGTTCGTATGACTACGATACTCAAGACCAACATGTGTCCCCCGAGCGGGCCTCATCAACCATTCTTGAGCTTGATCGCATGCGCGAGAGATCACCCTGTCGAAGAGGCCAGTCAGTAATATACAAACTCAAAAATTCCAATATTGTTTAGATTTAAGTAATAATAAAAAATCGTCATTTGATTAATAAATATTTTCTGGATAGTGTCTGGGCCTCGCTGTACAGAGATGTGGTTTAAACGCTATATCGCTCGAAACATCGCTGAACACAAACGAGGGTGGGACTCTGAGATGTCCCTGCCCGGCGCATACATTGAAGCCCAGACTAATATTATACGCAAGGATAGGAAATCTAGAATTGTGACATACCTTGGGAACAAATCCTGTTTTAACATAACCGTTCGATATGCCATTTACCACTGCTTTGCCGCCATGATTTGTTCGGTTCTTCAAGTCGCCGTTTTGCTTCACCACGGCCTTGTCTATGTCGAAAGCCATTTCTTTCAAATTCTCATGATCACGAGCTAAGCAAGCAAATTTATGACTGACTTCATGGATTCGACCATTCGGCGAACTAGGGGTGTCGGAATAAAGAAGCATGAATACAATCTTTCAGATTGATGCAGGTAGCTGCGGGTTCGTATATTTGTTTATCGGGAATGAATACGAAGATGGTGTGATACTATAAATCCAGTTGTCGGTCGGGTTGACGCTTATCGGTTCGGCCAATCAGAAATCGCTTTACATATTTGCTGGCGCACAGCCAATAACTGGCATCGTTTCATCACGATGGGAGCTACAAGTTGAGATACTCTTGCGACTGCCCTGGGTGACTATGACTGTACATGTCATGTGGGGCGCTAGACAATTGTTACGTACTCACCTTCCGTGTAACTTTCAGCCCAATCATATGTACATGCTTTGTTTTTCTGCATATATTTTTATCCACATATACATGAAAATGTGTGTACCCCCAGGTACATTTCCCCCATTCATTTACATCATAGGGGCTGACGAACTACTAGTGAAAAAAAAGAAAAAAACGTAGAAAATGTCCATAGACCTCCATAGAGGGACTGTGATAAATAATACAAAAGAACACGAAACAACTAATTATAGTAACGTCATCATGAAAAAATGAACGGAAACAAATATTTTTTCACCATCTATGTTGCAATTTTTCATAAAATCGTCCATTCCAAAAGAGAACCTTACAACAAATAAAAAAAACCTCAGTGGTGCAATGTTTATTGGTCAGATTATTGTGGAAATGAAAGAGCACATCAAAATCAGAGGTCGTGATTCATTGATTTACTGGAGCTTTTGTTAACTACTAGGGGGTTGCGACTTTCAAAGTTTATAAAAATTCTCGGTGTCAGATCTTGTTCGTGTTCGGTCTGCTTGGTTGATTATAATGAATACTGTGTTTGTTATAAAGTTTTAGATACCTGTACTGACAAAATATTACAGTCTTGCTTCTCAGTGTTGCATTCTGAGAGTAACTTACCCAAACGTTTCTAAACCCTCATTGAAACCAGATAGACGACAACTAAATTAAAATTATCTGTAGCGGCAGCTGATCCTGGCTCGCATTCAAATTTCTACAAACTGTTTGACTAGATCTGTTAAATCTGACCCACAGAACAAGAACTCTATTTGGAAGAAGAATTCCCATACCGACACTTGAGGCAAGTAGAGAAGATACTCGTGTGTAATAAACCCATTATAGTTATTCAAACACAATTACAATGAGCACGTCAAGACTAGTATTTTATTATGTATTTATTTCCTGTCTTTTGTTTTACGGTGATTTTTTTTAAATAAAGAAGGTGTGTCGTGATTGCTCTTGACCCGCACTGTTATACACACGTAGTCTTAAATACGTAGTCTTAAATACAGTGATAGAGCATGTACCTGCAACGGGTGTGTAGGTCCATGGATAGGGGGACATTGACAATGGCAATTACCCAACAAGTTTCTGATAAAATCATTAACCACCCCATTATATTGTAACATTGTGTAACTGCTACTTTGGTTGAGTGACAGACGTTACGCTCCCGCATGTCGGCGCTTTAATAAAAGAGATTTGATCATCTTTAATCGTTTTGATCTTTACATACAGATTTATTCGACCAAACTGGTGCCAACAAACTGGTCATATTAGGCAGTTGGTCTTTATATACACTTTATATAGTGCACTGGGCACTGCTCAAAGGCGGTCAATCTGGGAAGGTGGTCTATATATATATATATTTTACATGATATAAATCGAACAGGTGTATAGTGTATGTAGTCCGTTATTGAAAGGCAGTCTTTATATGGAGATTCATTCAATGCTGTCGTGTAAATTATACACTAAAGAAAGAGAATATTTGTTCGGAAAACACAACATTACTCAAACAAACAACAGACAACAAAAACAATGAGCAGTTATTAATTCATATTTTGAACTATAAGGATGAAAACATTATAAATGATGTGGCAAAATACATTTAAAACTGTTTTAATATGCGAGAAAGTTCAATTAAAAGCGAAATGCTAGTAGTTTTCCATTTCCTAACCAAATCTGTTAAGATAGATTTAACAATTAATGAACAAAATGGCCAACCTGAACAGTTTCAGATGAACAACGGTCTATTTTTCCAATTATCGATTAGCCGACCCTCAATCTGCCTAACCGACCACATGAGGGCGCTGCGGTCTCATCGGCAGTTTTCGCACATCGTCGGATTGATTAGTTGGCGTAGATGAGATTTTGTTACTACCTAGTTTCAGATAAACTGCAAAACATTGAACAGCGTCTCACTCGTGAAAGAAAGTTCAGCCTCTTAATCACATGCAATCAATCATATAATCAACCCCATTCCAATTCTATTTAACTTGTATTTTCCCGTTTTCTTTTCCTCTATTTACCTCTGTAAATATTGTATTGCTTTTTACCAGATTAAGAAATGTATTTTCTAAATAGATGCAATCAAATTTAAAATAAAGAAAGAGAACTATTGTACACACAACATGGCACTTAAAGCGCGGTGGTTGTCGCACAGCGCGTGTTCGAATTTCATAAACAATGTATTTTACACGCGTTGTATTACGTCGCTATGAGTCCCATATCGAACAGGACGCGGCACGACGACTACCGCCCTTTAAAGGCTCGTCATGATAGACAAAATAGAGATTAAACACCTCAGTCAACAGCTGCCCGAAAAAAACGCTTCTTGTAATCGTTGCAATTAGTAACGTTAATATGACCTTGCCTGCAAGTTATGCGAAGCATAGCCAACCTCAAATAACAATTACTTATTTGGCCTAGACAGGGCAATATATAAATACGTTTAAAGGGCGGTGGTCTTACCCTAAATTTCTCCCAGTTTGTGAGATACACTTTTGCAGATTTTTTTAAAATTTGGTACAAAGAAAAGCACAATAATTGATATTGTCCTTCACCCATTTTCGTCGATCGATTAAACATCATTTATAGGTTGTTTTGTGGTTTTATTTAAAATGGCCAAGTGGCGGCCATGTTGGTTTTATATTTATGTGCCCCTAAACATTACTTAGGCAGATGTACATGTTGTTTTTACTAGATTTTTATTGTGAAAGATAAATTACCAAGATATGTTTACTATGTTTTTGATTCACATAGTAAAAAACAATGAAGGCTATATGGACATCGATGGACACGTGGTTCTTGATAACCTATCGGTAATGTACATTTGTACTGCTATGCAAGCATGGAAATCAATGATCAATGAAGTTGCAAGTCATTTTCTAAAACAATGTCTGGCACATGGTGAATAAAATTGATTAACTATGTGTCTACTTTTTAAAAAATCATAATTTTTTTTTAGAGTAGATCTCACTGGGCACTACGTCGCCAAATTCAGGGCTACATAGTGACCTTTAAACAAACAAAAACGACTGAAATTTGATAAGAGCTGTAAACAACAGCTAGACTTGTAAGGAACTGAGCTGCATTATTTGGATTCATTGTAAACCTTATGTAGGTCTTTAAATATTTGTGCGATATTCCCTAAACCCCAATAAACAATAAGCAAAGTAGTGGATGCGAGAATCAACCACAGTGTTAAACACAAGGGGAAACCATTAATACAATACTAGTAAATCATTTAATTTTTGAGTTAGGATTTTTATGATTTAAGAATTTGTTAGCATTTAGGCGAACAAAATACTGTAAAATACTTTATTTTAGCTGGAATTAATTTGTTTTGTTTTGTATAGAATTTATTTTCACGGATTCTTGATGTTAAATCATAGGAAATGTAAATGTAAAATATGTAAAATATAGGAAAAAATGTATATTCGCTTGATTTTATTTTCACTGAATTATCCCTTTAGCGAAAATAGCGAAAATAAATTCCAAGCGAAGTATTTTACAGTATAGCATAGGTTACTGACTGTTCTTGAACATTTGTTGTGAAAATCGTATATAATGAAACAAACAACAAAATGCATTTCTTTTAAATTATTTTATTCTGTTGATAGTCAGATGACCAACTTATCGACTTTTTTAAAACACTACTCCCTGCCCCCAACCCCTCCCAAATATAACCCTATTTTTCCATGCAACTCCAAAAAAAAAAAAATATACCACTTGCATGACAAACTCTAAATGAGATTCCATTGTTTTATAAAATACCTTTGTACAAATATATACAGAAACAATCAAAATAACATAACAGGATTTAAATTAAAAACTTACACCATTCCCATGTCTGGTTTGTCAAAGTTTCACTCTGAGAAAGGTCAACAACCTCACTCATGGATTACTGAGCATCTTAAAATAAAAACTAAGATGGATTATTTCCATAATTTCAATCCCCCTTGAAATAACACTATTATTTTTCTTTTCAAAAAATTTCAGCTGATTTGTGCATTTTCATTATAATTAAGTAGAATTCCTTTGTTTTTTACTGTATACCGGTACTATCAAAAATGAAATTCACTGAAAATACTTTTTCTAGATAATGTATCACGTAATTTATCAGCAAGCAATGGCAATACATGAGACACAAATTACCAAATAGAGATACATCAAGATTTACATGCGAAAGTTTTGAAAATAATACCACCTCCCCCCCACAGTCAAACCTTGATAATAATTACAAACTGACTGTTGTTAAGGTACAAAAAATAACTGTCAAATTCATCATTATTCCACTGCAGAGAATACATACCATACAGTATATAACCTCATACACTCCATAAGTGTATCAAATATACTTTAAATACATCATAATCACAGTGTTTCAAATGTTACGTCACTGCAAAAAATATATTCAATGTATAGCTACATACACTCCATAGTGTATCAAATATACATCCCATATACCCTAATTCCAGTTTTTCAAATACACTACATATTGCATGTACAAAAGTTGTCAGTATCAATGGTTAATTACAATCATGTGTCACGTATAAAACATAACCACCATGTCCATCAGCAAAATCATTTGAAATGAAAATCTAATCCATCCAACCTAATTCAGATGGGTAGATCTAGACCAAAGTCTGTAAAGCGTCAACTTAACTGAACGGTATACTACACATGTAATTCAACAGTCAACTTCAAATACGTAGTCCCATGGGGAGGGTTTGTGGGGATAGTTGATAATTCAGATCACACTTGACACATGAATAAATAAATTATGCATTGGATAATGTTAGAAATTTGAATACCAGGTACTTGAAGCCTGAAAACATTAGCATAATTACCTATTGCACACGCTTTGGAATTTAGCAATTCGGGTCAACCATTTTATCTGCTGTCAGTTATTTTTTTTTTCTGAAAGGCTTGTGTACATATCATATATTTTTATTGCCAAGTATCCCCCCCAAAACCTAATTATCCCCTTTAATGCCAAAGTTGACTTTAGTCACCTATCCCAATACATGTATATGACTTAAAATTCTGTAAACAAAAGCATGCAGCACGCTAGAGAGAAAACCCAATTCTGATTCAAGTGGTTTGAGTTGAGGGATGGAATAAGTAATAATAGAGCACCATCTGGGAAGTCCCTAGCAACAGGCAAAGGGTAACTTGTCTTTTTATCACAACTCCAGAACTGCCAATTATTGCTACAATTGTGCCAAGTCTGTGTGCTATATGGAAGACCACAGCTCATAAAGTGAGTATAGATATTATTATTATAATTATTAATGAAAAGGGTGTCAATCAATATACTGATACATATAAGATTGGACAGAGGACAATATCACACAAAATGGTGGGTGTCACAGTGGTTTGAATTTAAATGGTGAACTAATCGTAATGCACCTAGCTTCAGTCTTTGGATTGATAAATTTGCGATGGAGCTAAACATTGTCTAAATAAGTTTTAATACTTAATAGAAGTATACAGTCAACTCATTTCTTCAGTCGTTTTGAAAGTCACCAGTTGGGAGTTTATGATTGGCTGCAAATGCCATACAAATTCAAATCTGTTTACTACATAGCACCAGAGGTACATTACTTGGGGTTTGAAACTACGGTGACCTGATACCAAGATCCTGTTTCAATCTCGCTCTCGCATAAGCGTTCCAACTCAGAAAAATGTGTATGCCCGAGGTAACAAGGATACTGGGATGTCCTGGTGGATCAAAATAGCTGCTCACGATATGACGGATTACAATAACTATATTTTCTGTACATTTTCGATGTATTACATTTTTTCACTATGCATTTGGTAATACATGTTTTATTGTTTTATTACAAACCACCTTATGTCATGTCAGAAGTTCATAGCAACAGTCTCGCTATCTACGAGATGAGACTTGAATGGGATCTTGACATGTCACCATACAGTACTATGCGCGTTGCAAACCCCAAGTAATGTACCTCTGATAGACTTTACGTTAGTGTAGTGACAGTGATCACACATAACAGACAGTATTAGGGTTATCATTAGAACAGTCCTCACAAATACATATCAAAGTAATGTTTGATTTTTGACCAAAGAAAGGACATACAGTTTTACTGATATAGTTTGAGCACAATGAAATGCATACCAAACCGACAAATTTAATATTGCCAATAACACCTTAGTTTACTTAATAACAAAGACTGCAATAAGTGATTTTCCATTCAACTGCGAGATCTCGTGAGTTGCATGAAAGACGCGAGTCAAACGTCTGCCGCAAAAATTGAACAATTTGATTTTGAACTCGAATTTCTTTATTTCGTAGCTCACATCGATCGGCCGATCTTCGACAGAGGAATATTGCTTTCGAATACCCTTACTTCATTGAAATTGCCTATTATCAAATGCGGACAGCACATTATTAAGCATGGAAATGTCCCCCAAAACACTTTCGCGTTTGTCGAATACCACACGATGTTTGACGACACTACAACAATATGACTACCCCAGACCATTCGTCCCGGTGTTATCGCTATCGCCACACGAGACTCCAGCTTGTCTCCTATACAATTTTCCTTCCGCCCACTTAATTTTAATATTCATATGACCTTTGCACTGACATCGATAGCCAATCGCAT